GGAATGAGGTTGCTAAATTGTATATCATGATTATATGTGATATTTTATGCTAGGAACGGCAAGAACAGAAAGAAAAAAGAATCAAAGAACTACAACAGAGCGTAGAAAGAAGACGACAAACTTATCACCAGTTAAGCAAACGTACACGACGAGGACAACCTGTTATGTCCAATCAAATCAATCACATATTATCAAAGCTCCAGTCTAATAGTTAGTTAGTAATAAATTATTAGAAAATATTAACATTTATTGGAAATTATTCACCTAACCGCATAATTTATAGGTGAATAGCGAGGAATGTCTCTCAAGCGTACTTTGCTCGGAATAATAGCGTTTTGTCAATTCAAAAGATTTCTCAATTTATGAGTGGGCATGGGCTCCCTGTGTCCATGCTAGGCGAGAAAGGCGAGAAGGTCTGGTGAAAATTGACGTAGATTGTCTTGTACCTAAAAGAACATGATTCATACTAGTCCGGGTTATCAAAGGATTAACGTTCCTCTTGAAGAACTCGACTCGTGGACAAGGGGGAAGTATCGTGTACCCAATCTCTGACTTGTCGTGGGCTTCCTGTGTCTATACTAAACTAAAGAGTCTGGAGACAATAGATTTGCTTTAGTGCTATTTCGTCTGAACAGTTTTCCCATTGCACTCCTTAGCGGGCGAGGAGAGAGTGAATATTTTCGTTCTTTCTTCTTTTTTAGCACTTCATGATAAAGGTCGTGGAAGGCCTGGGTGATACTTTCGAAACCATCAGCCGCTGAACACTCGTACAGCGGACACTTCATTAATTCAGCGAGTTGAGTTCCTTCTGATTTTAGGACCTTCGAAGGAACAACAGATAAGTTAGTAAAGACAGAGAGAGGCAAAGGTGTGTGTATGCGGGGGAGGGTTTGGGTGCATCATTCCCGATAGTTGAAGTGGCGTAATGTAACTAGGGGCAACTAGTCTTGCACAAAATCGCAAAAGTTAAAAGTCTGTATGTCATTTCTTTCATGAACGATGATTTTTACACGCGCGTAATTTCCTTCCGTTCTTCTACGGTTATGCTTACTTCGCTTGCGGAAATTTGCGCTGCTTTACTCAAACGTTTCCTTTATCTTTATACTCCGTTTCAGTCTACGTTCGCAAATTTTTTTCGCGCGCAAGCGGCTTACGTACTTTTATGGTTGTGCTTACTTCACTTGCGGAAATCTGCGCTGCTTTGCGCAAACGTTTCCTTTATCTTAACACTCTTTTTCAGTCTACGTTCGGTAATTTTTTTCGCGTAAGTGCCTTGCGTCCTTCTAAGGCTGTGCTTACTTCGCTTGCGGAAATTTGCGCTGCTTTGCGCAAGGGTTTTCTTTATATTTAAACTGCGTTTCAGTCTACGTTCGGTACTTTTTCTTCGCGAGTAAGTGGCTTACGTCTCCACCGCGTACTCACAATTCACTAGTGAAAATCCACACTGTCTTTACGGTGTACAATTCATCATTTAAATCACAAATATACCTTTCTCTTATGCTCTAAGTCACTTTTATTGGCCATCAATATCACCACTGGTTTGGGTTTAACATTACATAACGACTGGTAGAAGTTCATTATAGAGTTAAAGCTTTTTCTATCGGTAATGGAGTAAATAAGGACAAAGCTATCTCCCCATAACGTATGGTTTAATATGATGCGATCTCTGTTTTGACCTCGTGGCTGAAAAATACACATGTTATATCAAAATAAAACAAGGAGAAGCGAATTGAGAAAGGAACGAGAGAAGGTTAAGTGGAGAAGGTGGCATTTGCGAGGGAAGCAACTGTGGACACTGGGGAATGTAGACGTTGTGTGGAAGTCTTATGCGGCTCATGGCGCTTAGAGAACCAATGTTGATGATTAGGAGTTACACTACAAAGAAATATTGGAAATATCGGTCTTTTGAGCCAAACACTGGAATCGAAACCTTGACGAAAACTCTGACGTTATTAGTGTTTGTCACGCCTTTCCTTCACACTAATGATTTTTCAAAGGACTCTTATAACGGCTGTAATGGAGGCTAGGCCTCCAACCACCCGACTAATATGTTATCGCCGCCATTTTRATTTAATGAATTAACGAGAATTTAGGGAGGACAGACCTTCCGTATTTCAAAATCATATTTCATTGTGGTCTAGCTCAGTCACTACAAAACAACACCATATTTGGTCGCAGGAACAAAAGATCTTAACCACAATCCATTGCGTATTGTCATTCAGATAAGGCCTGTCACTTGTCAATTGCACACCCAATATGGTAGATGTTACATGGGGACAGATAATAATAATAACGAATTTAATAATAATAATAATAATAATAATAATAATAATAATAATAATAATAATAATAATAATAATAATAATAATCGCCGCCATTTTAATTTAATGAATTAACGAGAATTTAGGGAGGACAGACCTTCCGTATTTCAAAATCATATTTCATTGTGGTCTAGCTCAGTCACTACAAAACAACACCATATTTGGTCGCAGGAACAAAAGATCTTAACCACAATCCATTGCGTATTGTCATTCAGATAAGGCCTGTCACTTGTCAATTGCATACTTTTTATGATATTTAAATGATAAATAATCATTATCATTCTAGGAAGCAAAATAAATCAAGGTTTACAGATGCTCAAAAAGAATACAAAAGAAAAAAGGTTGATATGGCGCAGAGTCGTAAGGTGAGTGATCAAAAAACATGTAAAATAAAACTTCATTAATTTGGACTCCAAAGGGACATGAAAAAACATACTAATGAGGTTTCCATTGTAACAAGTTTGACTKTCAAATCTTGTTTGTTTTCTTTTTCTGGAGAGAACATTAGTCATGCTGAATCCAAAAATAAAAAAAGCAGCAAGGATTACAGCTTTGAGAGAGGCTCTTGTACAGTGCCAGTTTTGAATGTGCAGTATATGTGGCTCACATTTTACTAAATATGCGACATTGTTTGTCCCCAAATAAAGAGATGAGGGCCTAGGAATGAGGTTGCTAAATTGTATATCATGATTATATGTGATATTTTATGCTAGGAACGGCAAGAACAGAAAGAAAAAAGAATCAAAGAACTACAACAGAGCGTAGAAAGAAGACGACAAACTTATCACCAGTTAAGCAAACGTACACGACGAGGACAACCTGTTATGTCTAATCAAATCAATCACATATTATCAAAGCTCCAGTCTAATAGTTAGTTAGTAATAAATTATTAGAAAATATTAACATTTATTGGAAATTATTCACCTAACCGCATAATTTATAGGTGAATAGCGAGGAATGTCTCTCAAGCGTACTTTGCTCGGAATAATAGCGTTTTGTCAATTCAAAAGATTTCTCAATTTATGAGTGGGCATGGGCTCCCTGTGTCCATGCTAGGCGAGAAAGGCGAGAAGGTCTGGTGAAAATTGACGTAGATTGTCTTGTACCTAAAAGAACATGATTCATACTAGTCCGGGTTATCAAAGGATTAACGTTCCTCTTGAAGAACTCGACTCGTGGACAAGGGGGAAGTATCGTGTACCCAATCTCTGACTTGTCGTGGGCTTCCTGTGTCTATACTAAACTAAAGAGTCTGGAGACAATAGATTTGCTTTAGTGCTATTTCGTCTGAACAGTTTTCCCATTGCGCTCCTTAGCGGCCGAGGAGAGAGTGAATATTTTCGTTCTTTCTTCTTTTTTAGCACTTCATGATAAAGGTCGTGGAAGGCCTGGGTGATACTTTCGAAACCATCAGCCGCTGAACACTCGTACAGCGGACACTTCATTAGTTCAGCGAGTTGAGTTCCTTCTGATTTTAGGACCTTCGAAGGAACAACAGATAAGTTAGTAAAGACAGAGAGAGGCAAAGGTGTGTGTATGCGGGGGAGGGTTGGGTGCATCCTTCCGGATAGTTGAAGTGGCGTAATGTAACTAGGGGCAACTAGTCTTGCACAAAATCGCAAAAGTTAAAAGTCTGTATATCATTTCTTTCATGAACGATGATTTTTACACGCGCGTAATTTCCTTCCGTTCTTCTACGTTTTTGATTACTTCGCTTGCGGAAATTTGCGCTGCTTTACGCAAACGTTTCCTTTATCTTTATACTCCGTTTCAGTCTACGTTCGCAAATTTTTATCGCGCGCAAGCGGCTTACGTACTTTAATGGTTGTGCTTACTTCACTTGCGAAAATCTGCGCTGCTTTGCGCAAACGTTTCCTTTATCCGTTTATTCTCCGTTTCAGTCTATGTTCGGTAATTTTGTTTGCGTAAGTGCCTTGCGTCCTTCTCCGGTTGTGCTTACTTCGCTTGCGGAAATTTGCGCTGCTTTGCGCAAACGTTTTATTTATATTTAAACTGCGTTTCAGTCTACGTTCGGTACTTTTCTTCGCGCGTATGTGGCTTACGTCTCCACCGCGTACTCATAATTCACTAGTGAAAATCCACACTGTCTTTACAGTGTACAATTCGTCATTTAAATCACAACCGTTCAAATAAATACCTTTCTCTTATGCTCTAAGTCACTTTTATTGGCCATCAATATCACCACTGGTTTGGGTTTAACATTACATAACGACTGGTAGAAGTTCATTATAGAGTTGAAGCTTTTTCTATCGGTAATGGAGTAAATAAGGACAAAACTATCTCCCCATAATGTATGGTTTAATATGATGCGATCTCTGTTTTGACCTCGTGGCTGAAAAATACACATGGTTATATCAAAAGAAAACAAGGACAAGCGAATTGAGAAAGGAACGAGAGAAGGTTAGGTGGAGAATGTGGCATTTGCGAGGGAAGCAACTGTGGACACTGGGAAATGGAGACGTTGTGTGGAAGTCTTATGCGGCTCATGGCGCTTAGAGTACCAATGTTGATGATTAGGAGTTAAACTAAAAAAAAATATTGGAAATATCGGTCTTTTGAGCCAAACACTGGAATCGAAACCTTGACGAAAACTCTGACGTTATTRGTGTTTGTCACGCCTTTCCTTCACACTAATGATTTTTCAAAGGACGCTTATAACGGCTGTAATGGAGGCTAGGCCTCCAACCACCCGTCTAATATGTTATCGCCGCCATTTTGATTTAATGAATTAACGAGAATTTAGGGAGGACAGACCTTCCGTATTTCAAAATCATATTTCATTGTGGTCTAGCTCAGTCACTACAAAACAACACCATATTTGGTCGCAGGAACAAAAGATCTTAACCACAATCCATTGCGTATTGTCATTCAGATAAGGCCTGTCACTTGTCAATTGCACACCCAATATGGTAGATGTTACATGGGGACAGATATCGACAGAATACTTACAATAGGTCCTGGGTCGAGGACTTCTATATTGACATTTTCATCTTTAATGTTCGTTTGAAATTGATAGTGAAAATCTAAAGAAAAACGAGTTTTAGCAGTTATGGTTTCAAGTTTGCGTCACATACCAGAATGCTTTACCCAGTTTCCATTGCGCATTTTTATAAGGAGCAATATAAAAGTACATAGCACTTTGGTAGCATTGTTATTTCAGTTTATAGTAAATCGGCGCTATAAAAGGGGAGTTCACTGTTTCAGAGTGACAATGACAACCCTGCTTTGGAAAGCATTTAGGCTCCTAAAACATCCGGCTCCCAAAAAGCCATATTTGTGCTTTCTTTGTATACACTTATTAACTTCTAATTTTGTAAAGAAAAAGCAAGAACGGCTTAAAGGGGCGGATCCAGGATTTTCCTCAGGGAGGGGTGAAGGGCTCTCAGGAGGGGGTGCACCCCACAAAAATCATTACCATGAAGATACAAAATAAGGAAAGTATTGAATGATACAGATCTAGGGGGGGGGCTGTGCACCCCCCTATACCGTGAAGATACAAAATAAGGAAAGTATTGAAGGATACAGATCTCAGGGGGGATGCGCACCCCCTGCACCCACCAGATGGATCCGCCCCTGGCTTATGAGGACTGTTTTAGTGGTCATAAAAGAGTGCCAGGACTACAGCTCCCATCATGCTTTGCTGCACAAGATGGCGTCGATGCACATTTTGTTGAAATATTTCTAGTCTTGAACTAGGGGAGGGTTGGAGAGGTGTGGAACGATTTCGTACCTTGTGACGAGTCATATTCACCAATGAACCTCTTAGTGATAAACCTAACAGCAACCGCTATAAAACAGTATACAAAGACAATAAAYCCGTAATCCATTGCTGCCCTACATTACAGTAGGTTTAAAAGGCAATAAGTCAGTTGTCAGTTAAGCCAGTCAGTCCAGGACAATGGGAGGGAGTCCCTCCCTTCGCGCGCCCTGGGTCAGTCGATCCATCTATATCGTTCATCGCACTGCCATGCGACTAACGATAGAATAAAGAAAATAACTTTGTAAATTCACAACGGMATGGCGCGTAAAAACACTGATGACTTAAATCAGTTTAAACAGGATTATCACAGTTACYTTGCTAAATCTTCTCAGGCGATAATCAGCTCAAAAAGCAATAAAAGATCGAATTCTCACAGTTTCATTGTTAAAGACCGCTGGMGTTATATAAAACCGAGCACAAATTTCGCCTTCGACAATTTCGCCTTCATTCATTTTTTAAGGATTTAGATCGGTGTTGAACGATGTGTAATAGTATAATCCCGCATTCGCTTGGATGAACACGAAACAATCGCTTTATTTCGAGGCTGGAGTTTTATCTTTTGTCGAAAACTCCAGCCTCGAAATGAAGCCATTGTTTCGTGTTCATCCAGGCGAATGCGGGATTGGTCTATTATGGGTGCGCAAACGCTTCAACTTTTGCTTCATCATTTGCTCGAYTTTGATGAGCGGCGATGTTGAACGCGTTTGCGCTGGGTTTATATAACAGCAGGAAAGTACAACAATCAATGTAGAAAGTGTATAATATGAAGGAGATTTGTTTTGAAATGAATAATTTACGACAAGCAGAATTTAAATTCTACAGAACAGAGAACAGTGTAGCAAATGAGTCTGACAGACTGATTACTTATTCTTACGCCGCTCTGGCCTCTAGCCAGTAGAACAGCGATTTGTAAATCTTACGTGTTGCATGCGTCTCTATTTTACCAAATTTAATTTGTTTACCTGATTTTCCAACATTTCTCTCGCCAAATAACACAATTCTAGCATCTGCTGACTTRAAGGAATCCCTTCTGCTCATAATTGTGTATCCTACTCGTTATCTTCGCTTTGAAAAGACAAAAAAGGCTGTCAAAAATGAGCCGCGGTACAGTTACGTGAAGGGCCTAAAAACCAAACAAGTACCTAAGCAACATCTTCAAGAACTGCTCTTTCATCAAGGCCATCACAACTGTTTACACAAATCTTAATTATTGATATAATTGACGATAATGTCSTGGTTTTGTTKTTTTAATACCTWGATAGTTCAATAAAGAGGCTTTGAATTGTTGGTTGATTGTCAGGRCTGACGGAGGATCAAACAATTTTCAAGTAAGCCATTTGTAAACTTGTAGATATACACGCTGTTCTAAGCTCTTTTGGAATTTAGGTTATTGATTTTTATCGTGTGTTTAAACAATTTACTGAGTACTACAAGATGAGAAGGGTGTTATCCCTGATAGTTTAGAATCTTGACGGACTTGTTATCGATTGTGTGCGCGCCGATGAAATTAAGAACGTATAGGATCGCTGCTCACACATGACGATTTTTAGAAGAGATTTKAAGTGATATTTTTATAGTATTCCGTAGGAATAATATAGCCAGCGAATTTATCGTTGGAGTTTTATTCTATTTTTTATTTTATATTGTGATGCGTCCCATGATACAATCACAACTTCATTAAACATGGAAACAGGGCAACTAGAGCCAATTCACATCCACCACCTTTGTCAACATCTTCAAAAAACGTTTACTGCAGAACCAAGAAACAATTACGRAAGCAATATTTGCACTGRACTGATTTAGTCAGTTTTCAGTCAACTTCAGAAACACTGTAAGTAATAGTAACGCATGCTCGTGATTATTRAAACCGCTGTCMACATTGATTATCTGGGAATCTAAAACAGCTAAAATCACACTGCARTGTTCTGCSTTAAGTGGCAGCCAAATAGCCGCTAGTTCAGTAGAGTATCCAGGGGGATTCAAGGTA